CCAGGCCACAAAAATATTCATATGATTTTTCAGGTACACTGTTCGGCACACAATAAATTGTAATCCCCCTCATGAACCAAGACTACTGAAAGCTGGGGACGTGTCTGGGGGCAATGGCAGGACTGCAGGTGGGAAAGCAGGAGCCCAGAGGAGGGGCACTGGCTGGGGGCTGGCGCCAGACACACCTCGGGAGCCCTCCAGGTCCTCACGGTGGGAGAGCAGAGGCCGCCGTGGAGGCACCGCGGCTGAACCACCGTGGCGGGAAGCTGCCCTGCCTGTCCCTACTGTTCCCTCCGGAACCGCCGCCACTGAGGGACGCAGGGGCATCCCAGCGCTGCTGGGAATTGGCCCGGTAAGGCTGCGCCCCCAGGGGCCCAGGGCCTGGAGAGTCAACCTCCGGGCCCAGGCTGGGAATCTGAGGCGGGCCAGTGTGGAAGCATTTTAATGTCTTTTAAATACATAATCTGGGATTAGACACCCATTCACATGACCTTTGTCCGCTCTTGCCTGGAGCCACTGAAGTGGGTTAATAAATGCTGGAGGAAGTGGGCCGAGCCTGTTGGGGATGCGCTCTCCGAGGAGGGAGCCTTTCCCAGGCGGCGGAGGCCCCAGTGGCTTCCCTCCACTCACGGTGTGCACTGCACACTCAGAAGTCCCTGTCTGGACACACAGTTAGCTGGTTAATGACGGGCATGGTCTAAATGACATCCCGAGGCTCAGCCCTGTTTCCTTCAACAGCTTGTCTCAAGGGTTGTCCCAAACCCTGGGACCAAACCACCTGTCATGTTTTAAGCAAAATGCCCTACATGGTTCTCAAAGTGTGGTCCCCAGGCCAGCAGCGTCAGCACCACCCGGAACTTGTTAGCAACGCACATTTTCAGGCTGCCGTCCCAACCCTGCTGGGGGCGCGCCCTGCCTTCTGCCTCACAAACCCCACCTGTCCCGGGGTTCCTGATGAGCACTCTGAGGAGTCCTGGTAAGTCCAGGGGGGCTGTGTTCGTCACTATCTAGCTGGGGCTTTTCCTGTGCCTGTTTCCTCATCTGGAAACCCAGCGTGACAGTACCCCCTTAGCTGCATCTCAGGATTGGTGTAAAAATCAGTGAGATGCTACAGATGAGAATTCTTCAAAAGTGTTAAGTGCCTCACAAACGATGTTAATGCTGCCTTGTCAGCTGCCTCTGTCCCCTTTAGCAGGGGTGAAAGCCAGAGGTTTTTATCTTGGGACCCTCAGACAGTTCCATGGGTCCTGGAACCTCCCATGATTATGTGCAAAACTGAGTGGAAAGATGTATTTTTCTAGAGAGAAGACCATTCAGATTCCCCAAAGCCAAGAACGCTGATGGCCTCTGTCCTCCCCACCCCCATGGCCTGTGACCCTCTTAAAAATGGCAAGGACTTCCCGGCAGCCCTTGGCTAAGGAGGGCAATGGAGAACCAAATATAGAAAGCTGCACAGCCTGCCATGCCTGAACGCGGCCCCGGCCCCCCGGGGCTTTCCACATTTGCTAATGAATAATGGACTCTGGCTGCACACGCAGGGGAGCACGCCGGGAGCGGGGCGGGGATGACTTCACCCTCCTCGCATTCCCAAGTCCACGGTGGGAGGCAGGGCAGGCGACCGCGGCGAGCGCTTGTTCTGGGAAGGAGGAACGGGAGTTGGTGCTTCACGGACGCAGGGCTTGTTTCACTAGACGCAGAGTCCCGAGGACGGAGCCTGGAGATGGCTGCGCAACGAGCTGAGTGTATTTACCACCACCGAATGGAACGCTTACAAGCGGTTAAGATGTATATCTTATGTGTATTTTACCACAATTGTAAAAACTGGAGAATAAAAAGGCTGCAAAGTGGACTTGGGAGCCCTTGATGTCACGCACCCCTTTTGCCTCAGGCCCCGCTCCCGCCCGCCCCAGCCCTCCCGAGTCCTGGTGACACGCACAGAGGCAGCAGGCGTGCAGGGGACCCACCTGCTCTCAGCAGCTCTTGGTCTGGTCTCGGGACTCGAGGTCGAGGATCTCTCCCAGCCTTGCCCCTGCACACATGGCGCAGCAGCCACTCCCGGGGGACCCCACCGGGCGGGACATTTCCCTAGGTTGACCTGTTTACATCACGAGGAGAAAGAGCTCTCCTCACATACTCCTCCGGAATTCTCTATACACGTGGCCACGATCTGCTGACAGAGACGGGCCCTCTGTCCACAGGGCCGGAGAGGATGAAAGACGGCAGCGACGCAGGAAGTGAATTAAGTCTCATTTATTCTAGGGCAAACTCAAAAGGGTTTTTTTTGTTGTTTTCTTTTTTAGCAAATCCTAGCACATTATTAACAAAAAAATCTGTACATTTGCCATGATACACTTGAAAGTGAAACAAATAAGATATAAATACAGATATGAATGTAACATGAAAAAGCCCAAAAAAACCCAAAGAACAAAAAAACCCACCCAACCTGGGGGTGTGGGGACCATGCGTGTGAACACAGCTCCAACAAAACTATTTTGGTGGCTGATATTTTTCACAGCATTTCTGTTGTCATTTCCAAACATTACTGTTAGCAAAGTCCCAGTGGGATTCTACAAAGTTCTTATTTGCTGTCCTTTAAAGTGTAACATTATGCTCGATAAATAAAGGGTGGCAGGGAAAGAAAAAGATTTATGGATAAAATTGGTTGCATTACCTGCACAGGGTGGTAAGCGAGTGAGGCGCATAGAAAAGGCAGGCTGTGGCGTGGCCACAGGGCCGGGACGCACACAGCGCATGGGAAGGAGCCGCGTGCCCCAGGACCCGGCCGCACCCTGCCCGGACCCTGGCTGGGAGGGAGGCAGCAGCTCGAGGGAAGCAAGTCAGGCCACCGGCCCCCTGGCAGCGGGCGAGGGGGTTTCAGGGCCCTGCAGTCAGGTAGACAGGGAGGCAACAGTTTTGGGTGCTTTGCTCTTTCGTGTTGTTGTTTCGCCGGAACAGGGGCCCTGCAGGCAGGTGGCGGCAAGGCAAGGCAGCTGCAGCTGTCGGTTCGGGAGGCGGCAGTGGGCGCAGCTGCCGGCCGTCCCAGTGAGGTGGTGGCGGCATGCGAGTCTCCTCGGTGCGGCGGGCAGCGGTTTTCAGATAGAGGCCAGAGATCCAAGAAGTGATTGTATCTCTCTTACGTCGGGAGACTGAAGACTGGGCGAGTGACATTCGAGGCTAGCCCTTTGTAGTACTGTGAGGACATCAGGCAATGCTCGAGATCCTTCCCAACGACACCGAGGACTGGGTGACCGACCTTTCGGGAGTCAGAGAGCTCAAGGAGAAAGTGTTCCTAACTGCGGTCGGCACACACACGAGAACTCATGAACGGCCTAGCCAGACGCACGTCTCTACAACAGAGGAGTCACCAGAAGACGCCCTGACCCGCTTGTAGAGTATAAAAAAGAACTCCTATTAATGAAATATTAACAAACAAAATTCATCAACGGAAGTAGGCCTGGTCCTGCTAGTTTTGAGCCAAAGTCAGTCACTAATATCAGATCACTGAAAATGTAGCCCTGAAGTTCCCTACACAGTAGCAGTGGGGTACTGTACATGTGTAAGGTACCCCGCTACACGCACACACACGCCCGCGCACACATGCGCGCACATATACACACACGCACACAGAGTAGTGACCGCACCCTGGCTTCACCGTTCCTGGGCATCACGGAGGCCTTCATTTTCAGTGCTTATTTCCAAATGTGTCCAAGCATGTCTTTCACAACTTCCCACATCAAATCTAGGGGGTCAGAGCAGAAGGGGGGTCTGTGGCAATCAGCGGTGAGAACCACACACTCGGGCGCCCCGGCCTCTGCCATCCGGCCTGGCGGCTGCAGTGGACTCTGCACTGGAACAGCAAATACCTCATTAAAATTAACAGCGAAAGCAGCTTTTCCTCGTGGAAAAATCAGTTCGATTTAGAAGATCTAAAATGGAACAGGAGGAGACAATAGAAGTCGTCATGATTGTAATAATAATTTCCATTTGGCTTGGGAATTTTACTCAACACTTACTCAACCAGACTCCAAATCTAGAGTTGCTTTTATTAGAGCAATCAGACTCTTGAGAGGTTAAAAAATGGGGCCTGGTGGTTCCCTGTGGAAGGAAAGGAAACAGACTCTAAAAGTGGGTTTCTTCTTTTTTTTAAAAAGTGTTTCAAATCCTCTTTTTCTGCAATCTGCCATGTATCACAATTACTTTTTCCTTAAACAATGGCTATTTCAACAATCAAGGAAGTACTTTGGCTTATAAAATAATTAAAAAAATGGTTCTGATGGCTGGTCTCTCTATACTTTGTTCTTCATCCCAAATTAAACAGAAGTCAAAACTGAGATGGTAAAGCCGCCACTGACCAGACAACCGAGAACATTTCAGAACTGAACAGCTTAGGCAGAGCTTGCAGGGAGAGGACAGAAGACCGTGCTACCTCTGAGTCACCAAGTACCCTTGAGGACAAGGGTCCTGGCAGAATCCCCAAGATCTTAGTAGTCAAACAGACTACTTCTCTTCTGTCTTCCGTGCCTTGGGAAATGCCATTTCATGCATCCCTAAGAGATGCTATAAATTGACCTTATTTTTGCGTCTGGAATTAAACGTGAAGGATTCTTTTGCATGAAAGCTCTGGGGTAGGGGCGCTGTCTGTGGCGTGGTTCAGGGGGCTGGAGGGAGACTGAGAGGGGGCATGCCTGATTCTAAGCTAAAAGCGAGGGCAAGCTGGCCTCCCGTCTGGACAGGACAAGTGAAATTCCCAGTGTTGGTGAAAAGGCCATCTTCAGGCTTTTCTCCTTTTCTTGCCAAGACTTGATTCCCATTTTTAGTAGGTCTCAAAACACAACTTAAAGACAAACAACGCTTCATGGTGCTGGCTGTGAAAGGGGCTGGCTTTGCCCCACACAGACCACACTCATGAGAAAATAAGCTAAGAAGGAGGAACACAAAGTAACACCCCACCCGCCCCCCAAATCTGTTATTAACTGAAAAAAATGCTACTTTCTACCAAGTAGTGGCTAGAGAGCTCCGACTGAACTGTGCCCCACACGGTTCCTGATCTCAGCAGTGTACGAGACATGTTTCGGTATGGCTCTTCTCTTCTCTGATTCCTTTTGTTTTGTGTGAAGACTGCAACACAGGCCTTGCTTCCTTTACATTCAATACCAGTAGGATTCTACACGAAAGCTGGAAGGGACCAAAATACTGATTGTAATAAATATTTGCGGGCCTCCTTGCACTGACGGGGCAGCCAATGACGGGGGTGGGGAGAGGTCTCTGAGAGGCACCACCGATTGCTTCTAGGTCTACACAAGAGGCTGGCGCTGCCATTAGCTGTGCGTGGAGACGTCAGAGGAGGAGCTGCTGTTGCTGTTCGTGGTCTGGGCCCTCTTTATGTATAAGTTTAGTAGCTTCATCTGGAAAGAGAAAACGAAAATGAATTAACGAGAGCAAAAGCAATCAGAAAGCAGAAAACCAGAAGAAAAATCCCAAGTAACAATAGGAAAACAGCATGTGCTTAGTTCCCTGGTTGAGGGATTCATCACACAAACACTTCCTGAGTGCTGACGACTCACTGAGGCACTGCCAGGGCCACAGGGGCTCCATCAGAGCTGGGGAAAAGCAGGGAGGGGGGCCCACTCCACACGGCAAAGCAGTTAGGCCACGGTCAGAGGGCAAGCCTCCTAACCTTCACACCTTTGCCAAAGCCGTCCCTTCCGCCAGCACACCCCATTCATTCCGCGTGCCGAAACCTACGGGTGCACGGCAGCCTCTGAGACCTACCTCAAAGGCCACCCCCACAAAGCCTTCCCCTGATCCACGCATCTGATGCGACCATTTCTTCCTTCCAACTCCCACGGCTCCTGCCCCTTGTCTGGACTCAGCATATCCTGCCTCATGCTACAGCCAGAGTGAGCTGCTCACTGCTTCAGACAACATCAGGCCTCCCCGGGGCCACACAGTGCGCCACGAAACAGCCTTCACTCCGAGTGGCATGATGCTGTACACCGTGAGGGCTTTCACATCTGTGATCTCATCTGCTTTTAACTTATCCCCCTTTGGCCCCTTAAAATATGTAAAACAGCAGCAACACAGTAGGTATGTAATAAATATTTGTTGAATACCACTCAGCTAATCTGTTATGTTGAGAATTTGCCTGATCATATTAAGAAAAAAAGCAAACAGATATCTGCAGAGCAGAATGCCCATAAAAATCTCCGTGACACACAACTTGTAAGACGAAGTGAACGACGAAATATTTGCTGTCCACAGCCTCTGTCTGCCTTGCTCCATACAGGCTGTGGGGCTCAGACAATGAATGACAAGCTAGCCCAGGGAGGAGAGGCCGTTCAGGGACCCTGAAGACATGCTCGTGGTAACGCGCGCCACACGGCAAGGCGGGACTCCGACCACAGGTAGGAACAGAAGAGCAACCCTGCAGAGCCCCCGACAGGTGAAGTCTCCCTGACGCCCCCACCCCACCATTCCCCCAAAGGTGCTCTCCACTGGGATATATCCTTCCAGACACTTTTCTAGGTGCGTACGTCACATAAACACAGCGCATAAAATACAGAGCTGTGCTTTTCCACATGAATGGCGTCTGCAGTGAGCACCTGCGGCTTGCGGTCACTTGCCCGTCTGTCTGTGGGGTACTGGTGACAGTGCCCGTCGCACCAGCTTACTCTTTCCAACTGCAGCAGAGCACTTCATGCTCATTTACACTAGATACACGGTTGTTTTTTCAGCCCCCCATTTAAAATCTTAACGACTTAATAGTGCTGTGATGAAAAGTGCCATCGTTTAAACAAGGATTTCAATGCTCTGAGGCTCAACGTATTCAACAAAGCTCTAGAATCAGCTCCGTCATTAACTACTTGTGTGGCTTTGGGCAAATCATTTTCTGAGCCCCAGTGTCCTCATCTGCAAAATAAAGAGCAATGAGAACACCTCCAAAGTGCCTTCTGGAAATCCTTGTTCAGAAAACGTGTCCCCTGACCACACCTCTCCTGTTCCTACTCACGCTATTCATTCCTGCAGCAGTTTGCTGCTTCCCCGCCATGCAGATGACCACCCATCCCGCAAAGCCCAGCGCGGCCGTACTTCCTCCAAGAGGCCTATCCCTTCCTTCCTGCTCCAGTGACCCAGGACCTAGCCCTTGGGGTCCATCCCACTGTGTCTACTACATGCTGGTCACTCCTGGGCTGCTGCACAAATTTCCTCCTGTGTCAGTCCTGTTCCCTAGATGCATTCTGTACTATTTCAGGGCAAGACAGAGATAACTGCTTTTCCCGCATGCCTTAGCACAGAGCAGTAAAGACAGCAGGTTCCTAACACATAAAGAGGAAGAAAAATCTAGAAGACAACATAGCTGTATTTCTATGAAAGGCTGGTTATAAGTGAGTTGCTGAACATTGTTATACTTATTCTCAACTCAAAACCACGAATTCATCCCTCTAGCCAAGTCTAGAACATAACTGCACGACGGAGGAAAAGACAACGATAACAGAAGTCATAAGGTGCGTGTGTTCAACAACTTCCAAGGAGCTTTTACACTGATCATATTTGAGCCTCACAGAAGTCCTCCGCAGTAGGCAGAACAAGTTCTCATCTTTTACTAACGAGAAAACCAGGGTTCCGAAAGCTTACTCAATAAGGCTGGTATAAATTCACATTAGAGTGTCATAACTTTAGGATGTTAGATGCAATCCCCACCGCAATCATAAAGAAAACGACCACAGAATAGAACAAAAGGAAACAAGAAAGGACTTAAAATGTTTCACTAGAAAAACCAAACACAAAAGATGGTAATGCAGAAAATGAGGAACGAAAAAGCTGTAAGGCATACAGAAACAAACAGCAAAATAACAGAAGTTTCTCCTCATCAGGAATTGCCGTCATGCCTCAGTGTCCGTGGGATTTGGTTCCAGAACCTCCCTTGAACACCAAAATCTGAGGATGCTCAAGTCCCTAATATAAAATGGCATAGTATTTGCATATAACCTATGTATGTCCTCCTGTATGTACTTTGGATCATCTCTAGAGTTCGTGTAATACCTAATACAATGTACATGCTATGCAAATAGCTGTTACACTGTGCTGTTTAGGAAATAATGACAAGAAAAAAAAGTCTGCACATGTGCAGTACAGATGCAATGTTTTTCCCCAAATATTTTGATCCAAGGTTGGCTGACAGATACTACAAGGAAACTATAGACCAACTACAGACCAAATCCCTTACGAACATTGATGGAAAAAAATCTCAATAAGGACTAGCAAATTGAATTCAGCACAAATTAAAAGGATTTTATCCCGTGACTAAGTGGGATTTATTCCCGGAATGGAAAGATGGTAAAACATACCAAAATACACTACACGAACAGAATGAAGGGGGAAAAAACCACATAATTATCTCAATTGATACAGAAAAAGCACTTAACAAAATTCAACACCCTTTCATGATAAAAACACCCAACAAACTTGGAATAGGAAGAAACTCTATCAACACGGTGAAGGCCACATACGAAAAGCCCACAGCAAACATCACACTTAATGGTGAAAGCTTTTCCTCTAAGAGCAGGAACAAGGCAAAGATCTGCTTTCACCACTTCCATTTAATCAAGTACTGAAAGCCCTAACCAGATCAGTTAGGCAAGAAAAAGAAATAACAGGCATCCACACTGCAAAGGAAGTACAATTATCTTTGTTTCTAGATGATATTATATGTAGAAAACCTTAAATATATCAAAAAAACCAGTTAGAACTAATAAATTCGGCAAAGCAGGATACAAAATAAGCAAAAATAAGTTGCACTCCTACACAGTATCAATGTACACACTAAAAAGGAAATTTAAAAAAATTAAGAAAACAATTCCATTTATAACAGCAACAAAAAGAATAAAATACTTAGGAATTAACAAAGGAGGTGAAAGACTGACACAATGAAAACTATAAAAGACTGCTGAAAGAAATGAGAGAAGACAGACATAGATGGAAAGACTCCCGTGTTTATGGAAGACTTAATATTGTTGAGATGTAAATAACACCCAAGTGACCTACAGATGCAATCCATAGCAGAATCCCCAGGAGGAATTTTGCAGAAATAGAAAAATCACTCCTAAAATTCACATAGAATCTCAAGAGGTGCTGAACAACCAAAAGATCTTGAACAGAGTTGGAGGACTCACACTTTTGATTTCAGAACTTGCTGCAAAGTTACGGTAATCAAACAGTGTGGCACTGATATAAAGACAGACAGACAGACCAATGTTATAGAATAGAGAGCCCAGAAATAAACTCTCACACAGACGGTCAAATGGTTTGATTCTCCGTTTCTGGTCTAGGAAACTGAGGCAGACTCAGCACCACGTTCTGTCAGCTGCCCTTTTTCTTTGGGAAGCGGGAGGTGTATCTGTGTTAGGAGACGTGTACATAAGCCTACAAAGCTCTTACTAACACACTAGAGCGACCACAGCCAATGGCTGGATGACCCGGGCTAGCAGAGCAGGAAGGCGTCAAGGCCCGCCTCCCCGAGCCCTCCGAGCCGTCTGAAGCTGGAACTGGGGAGGCGAAGCGCTGGCTCCTGGTCAGGAACGTGGCTCTTGACCCAGGGCACCACCAAGAGTGGCAGCAGCAGCAGGTCAACTGCCAAATGGTGATGAGAAAACACCTGTAGTTTCTCCGTCCCTTCTCAGAAGGGTCAGATGAGATGACAGGAGAGCTCTCACACTCGGGAAAGTAAAACCGAGGTCTACTCATGTTGTTTTGGGGTGAAGTCTCCATTTGACAAATCTCATTCCCTTTGTGGCTAGTATCTCCGAGGTCCTCAATGGTCACCAGGAACCATCTACAAACCCCTGATGGAGACGAGGAAGTGAGGAGCGCTGGGGCCGCACACAGCAGGGCGACTCTTGCCCAGTGGTTTTCGGGTGGTGGCCAGGGACGGGGTCTGATGAGGGCCTGTTTAGGAGCAGGAGAGGGGAGCCCCCAGGACACTTACCACACATCTGCCTCTTCAACCTATGCCTATTCCTGTCTGCGGAAAGAGGAAACTGTCTCCTTTGGACCAGTGGTTCTCAACTGGTGGCCATTTTACCACCCAGGGACATCTGGCCATGTGGGGAGATATCAGTGATTGTCACAGCTGAGGGGGGTGCCATTGGTATCTAGACAGTGGTGGTCAGGGATGCTGCTAAACCCCCTTAACGAGGAGGCGCAAAGTCTCAGCAGTGTTGAGGCGGGGAAAGCCTGCTCTGGACAAAGGGGCAGAGCCGTGGCCCAGAGCTCTGGGGAAGCAAGGCTGTGGCTGTGATCTCCACCAGCTGTGTCACAGCAGCAGTGTGACCGGGAAACAAATGGGGCTCACACGCCAATCCCTTCTCTCAAAAGGAGCAGGGTCAGGTGCTTCTGGCTTTGTGCTTGCCACTGGCTCGCCTGGACAGAGTGGTTTGTACCCACATCTTAGCCAGGGAGTTTTTAGACTCCACATAGATGTGCTTTCCCCAAAGGCAGCCCCAGGCCTAGTCAGCACCCTCTCTGGGAGTCAGCCTGCATTGTGCCTCTCCTGTCATGGCGGGGCTTCGACCTGCTCTCACCTGGCCTGGCCTGTTAGACTGGAGTTGTTCTTTTAAAAAATTTTAAACCTATAAGCCCTCTAGCCACTCTCATCTTCAATGAGCCAACAGACCCTCCCTTGATGCTAGAACACTCTTCAAGGAACACGAGAGGCAGCAGAGTGAGTGAGAAGCCTGGCTCCTGAAGTCAGATCTCTGTGCGCCCTTGGGCAGGTTAAGGGGCATGACTGTCCTTATCCCACAGGGATGTTGTCGTAAACATGAGTCAACGCACGCGAAGTGCGCAGAACTGCGCCCAGGACGTGGCAGGCACAAGGCAGAAGCCAGTTGTTGTTGCTGCTGATGTACACAAGGGAGTCAGCTCTGATTCAGCAATCTGATAAGTGATCGGGTAAATTTCTTCAGTGTTTCTATGAGAAAACAGCTGGTTTCTAAACAAAGTTGTTTTTCTTTTGGTGCTCAAAGTCATTTCAAAGCCTGGAGTGAGGATCGACTATGTTGTGTAATGTTAGTGTCACCTTAAAATGACTTCACTATATAGCTGGTCATTTTTATCTTTAGAAAAATGCTTGTGGAGAAACAAGGCCCAACTAAAACACATGCAATGTCTGGAGTCCAGAGCTGCAGCCAAGCAGATTTATGACAAGCTGGCAGAGCCCAGGTGTGCACATCAGCCCAGGTAACACTATACATACCTTGCTCCCTGTGAGCTGTGCAAGGTGAGGTTTCAGATCTTCTCCGATTACGGAATAAATTGCCACTAAACAAAACACGCTGGCCTTCCGCACACTACTCTCGGTGTTATCATAACCCTAGAGAGCCAGAGAGGGAACACAGGAAGGAAATCAGATCAAAGGCTTGTCCCACAGTCAATATTTCACCAGCATTTCCACAAATGCCCTCACAGTTCAACCTTGGACTCGTCAGTAACAACCAGGATGCACCTCAGCCCTGCAACTGAACCCAGACAGCTTTCACCCCCAAAAGATCAAAACTTAGTGCCAAGGGAGACCCGGTAGCTGGGGTGTGGAGGTGGGAGGCTGGCGAGTCCCAGCCGGGTCTGCCTCCACACAGGTGCCATCGATAACCAGCTGCCACCCAAAAAACGTCGTGAGAGAGTCAGCATGAGAAAGGAAACTACAGGGGAAAATAATTTGCTTCATTCATATTTCTTCCAAAGGTAAAGCTAATTTCATATGGGGAAATTCCTTTAAGGAAATGAGAACGACATTACCCACTCTTGTGAGCAAAACTCCTCTACTTTCTAATGAGTGCTAGGGAACATCTGGTCCCACAGCCAGACATCTGTGTCCCCTGCAACTGGACCTCGATCTACCTGTCAGCCTCTTCCCTGGCCCCACACCCAAATGGGGCTGCCCACTGTGCTCCAAATAGCCTTGGACTTCTGGGCCTTTGTGCCTTTCCCTCTCTGTGGAATAATCCAGCTCTCCACAGTTAAATGTTTAAGTCCCCAAGTCAAGCACTCAGCAAACACCAGCATTTATTAAATGTGATGTTGGCTCATCTCAGCCTGTCCCCAGTGAAACCCCCTCTCTCTGCAGGGCCAACTCCAACCACCTCTTCCATGAGCCCTCCGTCCCCACCCTCAGACTGGAGATCACCTCTCTGCTGTAATGTAGCCCAGGCACAGGCATCTGCAGTTGTCTGCATGGCTGCACTGTGTCCTGCAGCAGGCTGAGGCAGTGCCACACAGTGGAACACATCTTTTGTCTGCCAGAGTGTCTCGCTCACTGCCCCATGCTTAGACGAGTTTCAGTAAGGATCTGTTGGCTACATGAGACCAAGGACCATTGTTTGATTTACACTCCATGGCCTATCGCGCCCAGGGTTGGGGCCATAGGAGCTATGCAATACAGGTTTGTTGAAAGAACAAACAAACAAAAAGATCAAAATATGTTTACAGTAAACAGAAAGTTCATTCTGTGAGCCACCAGGGACGTCTTCATGTTGCACTGAGGAGGGGTGGGCTCGAAGCTAGCAGAGAAGGCTGTGAGGCATCCCTGCCACGCAGCCTCCCAGGCCCTAACTTGGGGGTCACTGTCTGGGTTTTCCTACCCGCCCCCGCCAGTGAAGGAGGAGCACGAAGGCCCCACTGCTTCCAGTGGAGCAGTCGCTCTGCCTGACTCAGCCCACACAGGCCGGCTGGCTGCAGAGGGCGCCCACCTGCAGCAAGCCCGGGATGATGTCGGCGAGGAGCTGCAGCAGGGACTCCTTGGCGATCCTCTCGACGACTTTGGTCTGCATCTTGATGGCGGCGAGGTTGATGGGGTAGTCGGCCGTCTGGATGATGGGGCAGAGCACCTTGATGCACTGCTCCGGGTGGATAGAACTGGCCAGCGTGGACGCAGCCTCCTCGGCAGCTCTCACCACCTGAAACAGACGGTCCCCCGACTGTGAGTTTCACGTGCCACCCGGGGAGAAAGACCAAACCGCACTTCCGTCCTATTTCACAGGCCAAAGGACAGCGACCTCACCTAATGCCGAATGGCAGCCATTGCTTCCTCTGGCTCAGACCGTCAGTGTTAAAGGGGAATGTGGGTCATGGAAAGGCAAGGATGAGGGATCCTGGCAAAAACCTTAAAGAGTGGTTTTCCCGAGCAGTAGCCCTGGGAACTTGTTAGAAATGCAACCTTTTGGGATCCCCCAGACCGGCTGACCCAGAGGTAGACCTAGGGGATGTGGGCCCAGCAAGCTGTGCTCATAAGCACTCAGGTGATTCACAAACACACTCAAATTTGAGAATCTCTGCCCTAGAAGATAAGGAGGACCTAAAAATACTAATGCTTTCCAATGGCTTGTGGGATACCCGTAACTCGAGTACCTGGAGAGAAACCTGGAAGGAAATCAGAGAGACTTCTCTGCTGATGTTCCCTCAAAGCAGCCTAACCGCCAGGCAGTCGGGAAGGCCCAGGGAGAAGCCTCCAAAAGCGTTTTCCTGAGGAGCTTCCTGTGGAAAGTTGCTTTTCTAGGACTCTGTGCTCACGACGGCCACTCGCCTCACACTTTTAAGATAATGCGTGAAATGAACACCTCATGGTCAAAGGAGCAGCCTCTGAACTCTGGGAGGGCCACAGAAGACCCTCTCGTATTGCAGATGGAAGCTGAGTGCAAACCCAGTGAAGAAGAAAGCGCACGGCAGAAGGCGTAATAGAAAAAGCCTGGGGTTTGGGCTCAGGGAACTGGAAGCAAATCCCAGTCATCCAATACCCAGTGCTAACACTCCATGTCCTCATCTGCAAAGTGGGGACATGTCGCGGGGATGAATGATGAGTAACATCCAAGATATAGCAGATACTCAGTAAATGGTACTTACTACTATTAACAGCACAGGAGGACATATATTATATAAATGATACATACATAAACACACCAGGCTATAAATAGGTACGTATTTTCTTATGACATATAATGTAAATCTAATACTTTTCTCTACTGCCAGCCCTGGACTGTTCATTCCACCCAGGTTCCTCTCTGCAGTGTGTTCTGCTGCTCAAAATAACTGAGCTCTAACTTTCCACAGCAACAAGGCAAAGGCTACCAACCTGAGGCTTCAATCATCCCAGCCCTGGTGATTTATGCAAAGAATGACCAACGCGAAAAGCATATAGGCCATCTGGAAAGTTGCTTCTAATCATGGGCATGAAGGGGGCAAAGAAGTCAGGGAGCATGTGGGACAGCCAGGAAGGGCCCGCAGAGAGGCCACCTGAGCCATGTGGCGGACAGGCCCAGACCTGGGCTCAGAGTCCACCTGCCCTGCTTTGGGTGACTTTGGGGTCCTGACTGAGGTGCTGCCCCCCAGAAGCCCAGGAGGGGCAGAGGTGGATCTCAGGGCTCTCCAGCCGCGGCTGCAGACCAGGCCTGGCTCTGCCTTCAGCTCAACGCTCCGCTGCGCTGCAGACGGGGCTCCCCTCGGAGAGCGTGCTGCGCCAGTCCACATGTTGGCTCTGCTCTGTGGGACAGGGAAGGGAAATCCTTCTAACACCACAAGCCACGTTCATCTCATTTAACAACCGACACATTGAGGGCTGGCCATGCTGCTAATTATGGGCTTTCACTATGAAGCTCTATCTGGGCTTTGGCTACTTATGCCCAATACCTGCGCTGATCACTGTAAAAAACCTGGAAGGAAATGCACAAAAGGTTAATACTCCTTTTCTCAGGGTGGCAAGATTATGGGTAACTTTATTTTTCCTCTTTATATTTTTTAGATCAAAAAATTGCAATGATTATATTACCCTCCATTGAAGGAAAATATATTTTAAAAAATCCACTTGAACTGTCTTTTTGAGGCCAGGGAAAGTTAGCAGCCCAGCCCAGTTCCAGGTGGGAGGGGCAGAGTGCTGCACCCAAGAGGCTGGTGTCCCTCACATGTCCTCCCAGCAGAGGGCAGGTGCTCTGTGGTGTTAGCTAACCGTTCCTGCTTACCTCCCTGTTTTCATAAACTCCCCTCTGCTGAACTAGAAAACTCAAATGTGCTCCTCGAATGTGGCTGGCACACGTGTCCCCGCCCCTCCCCAGCTGCCCTGACCATCAGACTCATGATGCTTTTCCCTCAACTCCTGTTTCGCCTGCGACATTCACATGGCGCCACATGTAGATTACGTTGCATTCTTAGTGATATTTTCACGTGTTTCTTCTTACCAAACAGGCAGGAGTCTCTTTTCTGCCTAAGTACCCGGCGAAGCAGGAGTTCAGTACTTACTGATGTACTGAATTTCATTTTCCTGCCTGAGGATATGTCCCTGTTTAAAGAATCCCTATCTCCCTCAATTCTGAAAGTCACATTTCTTTCTTATCAGAGGCCTTTTGAACCTTCCCTAGGAGGATTTGCTGTCTGCTTGCAGCACTGACCAAAGGCTAGGAGTCTCATCAAGTAGGATCATTGCCCCGTCACCACTGGGCCAGTACCCTCATGGACAAAACGCACCCCCCTGTGGGGGCCTACAGGGATTATGCATTAATCCTTTTACGAGCCAAACTGGAGACCCAGATCAGAATGGTTTAAGGATAAATACTGTGTACAGGTCAGAAGGCAGGTGCTAAGAACCCAACATTTGTCTGTGAAAGGTCAGGCCTGAGTGCAGAGCATTGCAGAGAGGTAATTTTATTTTAAAAGCCATGCCCTACTCTCAAGCACCTCATCAGTTTGTTAGGAAGTTAAAGGCAGAGGCTGTTTTTTTCCCTAACCACCGTCCCTCTTGCCTTCTGCTGTGTGCATGTTTGCTCATCTCGCACTGCCTCCTGTGTGTCAGGGACTGAGCCCAGAGCTCAGGCCACAGAGGTGAGAAGGACCAGGCTGTGCCCTCATGGTGCAGGGCAGGGTAAGGGAGGTCCACACAGAGGGGCGGCGTGAGGATGCCCAGGCCCAGGAAGGGGCCGGATGGTGGGGATGTGACATGTTCCTACAGCTGGTGAGGATGAGACAGGAGGAGGCTGCTGAGGGATGGGAAGTAGAACAGTCTGCACAAGGCTTCTCTGGTGTTGTGGCGGGGCTTCCGCAGCTCGAGGGCCCTGGCCTTGCCTCTGCCTGTCTAGGAAGCAGGCTCGGCCGCCCAGGCGCGTCAGGGTGACGAACAGACCTTCCCTGGTCAGCACGCGCGAACTCGGTCACGACACCCGCAGCGCCTCTCTCGCTTCGCACACGTGTGGGAACGAGACTACCGAGAGGAAGCCCACTGTAACGGTTGCTCCTGTCGACTCGATCTCCTGCAAAGGGTAGCTTTCTCCACACACGCCACGGGAAAGCGGAGTACTGTTTGGCCCCAATGTGCGCGCGCATGCCCTTTAACCTTTCACGCCGAGCAGGGCAGCCTCCAGGGTCCCACGAGCACGTTCTCGGCCTCCGAGAGCCGCACGGCGGACGAACCTCAGTCCAGTCCTCTGGCAGGATATGTGCTCTGGCAAGAGTCTCTATTTTTTAAAATTCTAAAACAGGATTTAAAATCAGCGACTGTCACAGTTATCTGCACTGAGAGAGAGAACATACAAGCTAGCTCGGCACATGCTACTTACAAAACGGCTAACGGTGCAAGCTAGGTCCTGGGGCAGGAGTGACACCAGAGTGGCAGGAGAGCTCTGTCCTGCGGGTCTCCACAGAGGACCCCTCACCACACCAAGCATTCTGAGAACAGGAAACCTGGTGAGCCAGTTCCTCCCCGGGGGCCAGTGCCAAGACCCAGACAGGCCTGCCCTCTCCAACAGGTCTCTGAAATGCTGACCCGAGTTCTGCAGTGAGACCTGGCTCCCTCCTGTCTGGTGCTTGCTGGCCCTGCCCACGCCCCTGGCCGACTCACTCTTAGGCCTCATTCGCTGCAACAGCACCCCAGGAAGCCTCCTGTGCACACTTTAATCACCGCAGGGAAACACTTTGCTGAAACTGTCTTTCCCACTGGACTAAAAGTTCCTTGAAGGCGAGATTTCATCTCGGCCATCTTTCTATCCCATACATGGCACGATGTCCAGTATACACTAGGCGCTCGAAAAGCATCTGTTGAACTAATTTCCCCATCGTGTGCAGATTTTTAGTGTTCATGACTGACAAAGCCACTCTGGGGCATGCCATGCTGACTTGCATTTCCGTTCTTCCTAAGGGGCTAGTGCAGAGATGAGGCGCAAGGCTAGGTACCTGCAAACGCCCAACCTAGGCTGTGGGAAAGTCAACGGTACAAGGCCCAGAGCGTCCCGTTCTCGGTGACATGCTGGAAAGGCAGCACACTAGTTCTGTGGAAAAGAGACTTCAGCCCAGGTTTTTCCCAGTAATCAGCTGTTGGAAGAGGGCTGGCATGTTTCTTAGAAGAACCCCATCAGGCAATGAATCACCTCAGACGAAGGGCTCTTGCTCCTCCCCAGCTCCCTGGGGCTGCGCCATGGTGCGTGCGGGAAAGCCAGGCACGCGGCTGCACAGCTATGTGGCCGAGTCACACACAGCTAAGCGGGTGGTGAAAAGTGGAAGGGGGGACAGCCCTTCCTTTTTCTAATCTGGTCCAGCAATGGGAGCATGTTCAGAAACTACTGGCTTTCTATCGCAAGAAATCCTTGGGTGCAAGTGTAACAACATACTGGAAAGAAAGAGGGACTTCTGGGACTTAGTTTTAAAACTTGGGGGAAAAAAGAAAAGGATCAGAAAACACTGAATGACCTCACAGGTATACCTAAGTTACCTATGAAGTTAGAAACAGTGATGTACAGGAATTGATGTTTATCATCCCATCGGGAGGTGGGAAGCAGCTCGGTGGGCGGAAAGAACATGGATTTTGGAGAGAGACTGGGATTCAAGTCAGCAGGGCCATGTTCCAGTCTCCACAGGACCACGCAAAAAGCCTCCCGGCACACCCCGGGGGAGGCAACGAGGATTAATGAGACAAGGCAAT